ATCCTCGAAGGACATACGTATATATATATATATATATATATATATATATATTGCGAAAAAAAATAGTTTGAGGGAACTTTATACGCTTATCTGTCCATTGTTTAAATGATGCGGGTTCGATCACTAATACCACCGCGAAATACCCATATAGAGGCGAATACGAGGCTTAGAAGAGTTCCGATAATGGCCACTGTTTCATAATCAATGTCACAGCCCACATAAACGCGTTTAAATAGAACTGGTCATAGATAATGCTAATAGATATCGGCGCGTTGAAAATTAGTACGGAATACTATTAAGCTCTATTCTCCTCTCAACAGTCAAGTTCACACGCTTCACGGCCCGTTTCGCGTGCAATTAAATATCCCTGGAAAATTATTTTCCCCGAAAAGAAAAAAGAAAAAAAAAAAAAGCTTCGTTAAACTCGTTCGTACATCGTATTTTTTTTTTTTTTTTCTTTTTCTTTTTACGCGAGAATTTCATTCGTTCAAGGATCCTGATAGAAGAATCTTGTTAGATTGAATCTTTTATATTGTCACGATTAATCTAGGGACTTTTTCGTCCAATCTTATTTCTCTCCCGTAACATTCTCTCAACTTAAATTACACTAATAGGTCCCTGTTTAATAAAAATACGATTCTTATCCTAGTAGAAGAAAAGAATATGTTTGGAAAAGAAACAAAAGTCCCTAGATTGTCTAAAGAAAACTCTTTTTTTATAATTCGTTCATTGATGCCTTATCTCGCAATTTATAAATTCTTAGGTTATAAAAGGATAGGAATTATTACTCTTTGTCGTAGTAAAAAATACGATTCAATGGGATATTTCGAAAAGAGAGAGAAGGAGCGAAAGAAGAAGAAGAAAAAAACGGAAGTTTTAAGTGGAAAGTCGAGTTCCACCGATAACGGCCGATTATCAGAGGCATAATTTATCAATGAAATGAGCTGGCGTGCGGCTAATTAACGAAAGCAAAAGGATGAATCAGTTCGGCGAGGCGAGCATCTCGCTGCGAAAAAAAAGAAAAAAGAAAAAAAAAAATTCAAGCATTTCTCGCGGCCAACGAAGAAAAGTTTATTATACTGGTGGCGATAAATCGATAATTTGGATTAATAAAACCGAGGCGAGCACACGCTAACCCTAGCTGAGAAACAAAGGAGAAAAAGTTTCGCCCTGCACAAGGGGCAAATTAGCACATATCGCTGGGCAGGGAAATGTAACATTCATCTCTATTTTTATCTCGCTTCGAGACACAATGCCACTCTCGTTGGCCGCTGGGGATCAGCTGGTTTCCTCCTGTTAAAACTATATTTATCTCATTTTTTTCGTCTCGAGGAACAAAAAGTCTGGAAATTATAATCGTGTATACATGGATGTCAAATTTAATTATAATTTTCAATAAATCAGGTTCGATTGGATTTTACAAAATTTCAAAAATTCAATTTTTGAACAACTCGATTTCCTTTCTCGAAAAATATTTAAATATTCAAATTGGAGGAGAAGAACTATTTCAAAATATCCACTCGTGGTTAATACATGGACCTTATTATTGAAAATGATCTTCATTAGCGTTAAGTAATATCCCTTTGTAATATCTCATTTGGCTATTTGTCTGGCAAAGAATTTCGTTCGCCCACGAGACGAGAAGAAGTCGAGAGAGATCAAGCCAGCAAGCCCTGTTAAGATCTCGTTTGATCCACGATTGAATCCCTTCTTCCCGACAAACTTCGCATTCACGTTTATCGTCTCTTTCTTCTCTTTCCTTAAAAAAGTCTCGAGAAAAAATTCAATCCTTCCAAATAACGCTCAGGCAGTCGCCTATCCTTAATTCCTATTTCTCACTAAACGAATATATATAAACAATAATTTTAATAAATATTTTTTCAATCAAATATCCTCAAATATCTAAATTCCTAACACACACATCTTAATTCTATCATCCTAAAAAATTCTCATCCATCGAAAATTAAAGCGACTGTCCGTCCATAATCACAAAAATAACAAAAAAAGAAATAATATTAACGCTCTTAAATAACGCTTTACCACGAATCGAATCGTCTAATTTTTTAAACTTAACTCGTTTAATCCAAGTGATTTAAAAAAAAAAAATTAAAAAAACAAAAAGAAAAATACGC